AGTCAGTTAAGCGTCTGACTCTTGGTTTCAGCTCAGGTCATGATCTCAGGGTTGTCGGATTGAGCCCCACGTCAGGCTCTGTGCTCAAGGCAGAGTCTGCTTCAGGTTCTCTCTCCCTCTCCCTCTCACCTGCACTCTCTCTCTCTCAAATAAATAAATCTTTTAAAAAAAACCCTGAAACTCTATACCCATTAAACACTAACTCCTTGTTCCCCACTCCCCCAGCCCTGGTAAACACCATTCTGCTTTCTGTCTCCATGATTTTGACTGCTCTAAGTATCTCATATAAAAGGAATCATACAGTATTTGTCCTTTTGCATCTGGCTTATTTCCCTTAGCACAAGGTCCTCAAGTTTCATCCATGTTGTAGCATGTGTCAGAATTTCCATCCTTTTTAAGGCTGAGTAATATTCTATTGTACGTGCATCCACATTTTGCTCATCCATTCATCTGTTGATGGGCATTTGGATTGTTTTCATGTTTTAGCTACTGTGAGTAATGTTGCTGTGAATATGGGTGTACAAATATCTCTTTGAGACCCTGCTTTCAATTCTTTTGGATGTATACCCAGAAGTGGAGTTTCTGAATCACATGGTAATTCTATTTTTAATTTTTTGGGGAACACCATGGTGTTTTCAGTACCATTTGGTATTCCCATCAACAAGGGTTTCAGTTTCTTCACACCCTCAGCAAATGGGTCTTACTCTCCTTTGAACTACCTGCACTTTCAGCATTGGCACACTGTAGGAACTCATATATTTATTAAATGGATGGGTAAGGGATTTGGTGGCTAAGTATATATGAGGGATGAAGGGCAAAGAGAAGTCCGTATCGAATCCCAAGTTTTTAGCTTGGGTGATGGGATGGATGGTGGCACCTATATGGAGAAACAGGTTTGGGGAGAAAGAGAACAGATTCTATCCAGGACATATTGTGTTTTAAGTACCTTTATAACATTCAGGAGAAGATGGATATTCTAGACCCGAAATGGGAGGCAGGTCTGGTGGGAGACAGAAACATGGGAATCTATATCACTCATGGTTCTCCAGAAAAGCAGAAACATAAATACAAAGAGATTGGGGTGCCTCGGTGGCTCAGTTGGCTAAGCATCTGCCTTCGGCACGGGTCATGATCCCAGGGTCCTGGGATCGAGCCCTGCATCGGGCTCCCTGCTCAGCGGGAAGTCTGCTTCTCCCTCTCCCCTTCCCCACTCCACCCCCGCCATGCTCACTCTCTCTCACTCTCACTCTTGCTCCCTCTCAAATAAATAAAAATAAAATCTTTAAAAATAAATACATACAAAGAGATTTATTTTAAGGAATTGGCTCATGCAATTATGGGGGCTGCCAAGTCCAAAATCCATAGGGCAGGCCAGCAGGCTGGAAACTCAGGGAAGAGTTGATGTTGTGGTCTTGAGTTCGAGTATGTAGAGCAGGCTGGCAGGCTGGAAACTGAAGCAAGATTTCTATGTGATAGTCTTGAGTTTCTCTGGGAAACTTCAATTTTTGCTCCTGGAGCCTTCAACTGATTGGATGAGGCCCACCCACATTATCAACGAAAACCTCCTTTACTTAGAGTCAGCTGAGTGTAGATGTTAATCATATCCACAAAACACCTTCACAGAAACATCCAGAGTAGTGTTTGACTAAAGGACTGGGTACTATAGCCAACCCAAGTTGACACATAAAACTAACCATCACAGAGTCTCCCAGGTGGTAATCCACCTCTTAAGTGCACAAGCTATGGCCCAGGAAGAGCAAGGAGAATAAAAGCCAAGGACACCAACAGTTAAAAGGTGGACAAAGGAAGAGAGCAAGGGGTTGCAGAGGAGCCTGAGGTTGTAGAAGAAAGGGAAGCCGGAAGAAAGAGGTGTCACAGAAACCAGGGGAAGGCGGTGTACCAGACAAGCATGGTCAAATGCGCCCCCGGCTGCAGAAGGCTCAAGCGAGGCGAGCGCTGGGAGTCAGGAAGCCTGGGGTGACCTCACAAGCGGCGGCGAGGCCACTGCTGGGGAGTGTAAATTGGTACAACTACTTCAGAAGATACTTCAGCATCAGGCAGGAGAGTGGAACATGTGAAGATCCCATCGCCCAGCAGTTCCACTGGTAGGAATACAGCAGTACCCCCCTTTTCCGCGGCAGCATCCCCCCTTATCCGCGGCAGAAACCCCTTTCCGCAGCAGCATCTCCCCTTATCCACAGCAGCCCCCCCTTATCTGCAGCAGTAACCCCCTTATCTGAGGCAGCACCACCCCCCTTATCCCTAGTTTCACTTTCCACAGCTGCTGTTACCCGCAGTCAACCTCGGTCTGAAAGTAGATGATCCTACTTCCGACAGATCAAGTGGATCAAGTCAACAGGAGCCTAATGCCAGTCATTCATCTCACTTTATCTCTCACGCAGGCGCTTTATCATCCAATGTCCTCACAAGAAGAGTGAGTACAGTTCAATAAGACATTTGAGAGAGAGACTGCATTCATATCACTTTCATTACAGTATATTGTTATAATTGTTCTGTTGTATTATGTTACTCTTGTTAATCTTACTGTTTATAAATTCAACTTTATAAATTTATAAATTATAAATTCAAATTTATAAATTTATAAATTATAAATTCAAATTTATAAATTCAACTTTATCATAGGTATGTATGTGTTGAAAAAATAGTTATCTATGGGGCTCGGGACCTCTGTAGTGTCAGACATCCACTGAAGATCTCGGAACGTATCCCCCACGGATAAGGGGGGCCTACTGTGTACCGATGCTTGCTACTCAAAGCGTGGTCCACAGACCAGCAGTGTGGGCGTCACTGGGAGCTTGTAGAAATGCAGAACCTCAGGCGCCATCCAGACCTTCAGACTCAGAATCTGCATTTGAACAAATCCCCAGATGATTCACATGCACAACAAAGTGTGAGAAGCATTTCATCTTTAAACTTTGTTGCTCGTGTTTAAAAAAGTTTGTAAACTATGTAGGTAGATACATATGTAGGTACATGCACATTTTTATGCTACTATCTAAAATTTTCCTGAAATGTTTAAGTCATTGCAAGAAGATGCAATTTCCAGTGTGTTGTAAATACTGACCCTTTACCCTCTCTGATTCATTAAAAAGCCCTTGACCACTCTCTTCTGTAACAATCAGAAATTTCACATGTGCCATTTCTTCTGAATTCATATTTCTCTTTTGACCTACCAAAACATTATCTTACTAAATATGGCTTATGTTTGAAAGTCTTCTATTCTCTGCAATGAAAATATGTATATAGATAAAAATGGATTTTTAGGGGTGCCTGGCTGGCTCAGTGGGAAAAGCATACAAGTCTTGATCTCAAGGCTTGGGTTTGAGCCCCATATTGGGTGTAGAGCTTACTTAAAATAAATAAAATTTCTTTAAAAATTTGAATTTTTAGGAGCACCCAGGTGGCTCAGTCGGTTAAGCATCAGATTCTTGATCTCAGCTTAGGTCTTGATCTCAGGGTCATGAGTTTGAGCCCCATGTTGGGCTCCACGCTGGGCATGGAGCCTACTTAAAAAAAAAAAAAAGGAAAATTTAAAATTTCCTGTGGCCTTACAGCTCTAAGTTTCAAACTTTTCCTTCTGGATTAAGTAATTATTATGATTATCATTAAAAATTAATTTGTCAAAACAACATGAATATTTGATAAACTTTGCTAACTAATGATTAAGCATAAAAAATAAAATTAGAGGGGTACCTGGGTGGCTCAGTTGGTTAAACGTCCAACTCTTGATTTCAGCTCTTGATTTCAGGGTCCTGGGATGGAGCCCTGGGTAGGGCTCCGCACTCAGCGGGGATTCTGCTTGAGATTCTCTTGCTCTCCTTCTCCCTCTGCCCCCCAACCCACCACTGACACACACTCTCTCTTTCTAAAGTAAATAAATAAATCTTTAAATAAATAAATAAATAAAATTAGATTAGAAGTGCAATTCTAGGGGCACCTGGCTGGCTCAGTCAGTAAAGCATGCAACTCTTGATCTTGGGGTCATGATTTGCCCCACATTGGGTGTAGAGCTTACTCTAATTAATTAATTAATTAATTTAAAAAATAAGTTAGTAATACATAATATTTTTTTAAAAAAGAAGTACAATTCTAAATAAGATGGTTGGGCCACTTTCTTTTCAATTAGTTCATGTATTTATGAACTACACGAATGAACATTACTTATTGCTAGAATTAGACAGGATTCAGCATGAATTCTATTCCTAGTTTTCTTTTTTTTTGAGATTTTATTTATTTATTGTCAGAGAGAGAGAGCACAAGCAAGGGGAGTGGCAGGCAAAGGGAGAAGCAGGCTCCCCGCCAAGCAAGGAACCTGACACGGGACCTGATCCCAGGACGCTGGGATCATGACCCAAGCCAAAGGCAGATGCCCAACCGAATGAGCCACCCAGGCGTCCCCCTAGTTTTCATTTTTATAGATTTAAGAACTGAAAATTTTGTTCCCATAAATATGTAGATGTAAATGGAAGGAGTTTTGTCATAGCAATGTCACTAAGTTCTTTGAAATCATACGAAGTTATATACCAAAACACAGTGACTTATCATCAAAAATCAATCAGCTGGTCTCTTCAACAAATGGTGCTAGAAAACTGGATATCCACATGCAAAAGAACGACGTCGAACCCCTATCTCACATTGTATACAAAAATTAACTCAAAATGGTTCAACAACCTAAATACAAGAGTTTAAGAACGGTTAGAAGTTCACAACCTTGGATTTGGTGATTTTTTTTTTTAAGATTTTATTTATTGGGGCGCCTGGGTGGCTCAGTCGTTAAGCGTCTGCCTTCAG